CTAATTAATTGAATTAACAAAATCAACTTTGAATTTAAATAAAACTTAAAAATATTTCTAATTAGATAGATTAGTAATCTTACTGTTATAATTAATTAACAAGTATAGTAGCTATTGATAATATAACAAATTTGTTCAATTGCTTAATGTTAAAAGAAAAATCTATCGTTTTACTTTCTCCTTGTTTACTTACAAGAAATTCTTATCGGAAATAGAAATAGAACTATTGTTGGTTGGCTTTTGCAACATAAAAACATTTCTTTTAAATTGTTTGTTCATAATTGAAGAACCTAATCTGGACATAGAAGAATTATACATTTGCGTTCTAGTGTATTGTGTTAACATATTTATCATTTATCACAGATGTTGTTGCAGCAATTACTTTACTGTTTCTACTATGCATTTGCACAAACAATAATTGTTTATTTAAACTTTCTAAAGTTTTCTTCAAATTACGATATTCATAACTTATTCGCTTTTCATTACGAACAGCATTAACATAACTGTTCTTTAAGATTTCATATTTATCGTTCTGAAATATTGTTTAATGACATTAAAAAAGGCAATAGTGTTATTATTAGTTAAAATAAAAAATAGAAAAAGTTAATTTACTAGCTGATTAAAGCAGTGCAAAATAATGTTTGTCTGTTCAGATTGGAAAGTTATTATAGGCTTTAGTGTTGTTAAAATATCCTCTAACGGTGCAAAAAATCTTGATATTTCTGGTGTTAAAGATTTTGTAAGCGGCACGGTTTCAATTTTTGTAGATTTGCATTCAGGACAGTTTTCCTTAACTATAAGTTAAAACAAGTATATTCTTAAATATTTCTGAAAGTTACAATTTTATAAAATAAAATACAAGTTTTTAGTATAGCTTGCTACATAATATGTAATTCTGTTTTTACAATTTAACATTACCTTTTCTTAGGCAGTCATTACAAAAAATATGTCCACATTGAGTCAATCTAAATCGAAGATTATTTTTAACATTATTGCAATAACATTTATTGCAAATATATTGTTCCATTATTATTTCTAAGTTATAATAATTTGTATTATAAATTTGTGATAAGAATTAAAAATAATTAAAAAACTAGAAAAGGTAATAACCAACTTAATCTTATAATAGATACGTTTATTCTATTCTCAATTAGTAAAGTATCAAATTCATATAGATTATGCTTTTATTTAATTTTAAATTTATTTATATTTTCGATATTTTCGATATCTACAAATTATGATCGACATACATACACTCGATAATCGCAAGTTTTATCATTCGAGAATCACAATCGATACGATTCGAGATATTTTGTATAAAATGAATCGACATTTTTTTAACATATTTGATTATATTTAATCACGTAATATGAAATGACGTCGTACAATAATAATTTAGAAACCTTCCCTGGAAAGCAAATAGTATTTACATCTATATTTGTAAGTAAAATTTGATTTTTATGACCATACAACATTACATCAACCACAGAATGTATAACCTATAAATGAATTATAATAAAAAGATGTTATATTTTTTAAAAGTTTAATAATTAAGTATATCATTATAAAGTAATAAAATTATTTATCAAATATTTATATAATTAATAAATTTTTTGTATTCAATTTATATATTGATTTTCATTTAATTTCTAGTTATTTTTTATAACAGGCAGGAGCTAGTGCAGGAATTTGCGTGGATACAGTTTTATTTCCAATAGATACCATAAAGACTAGATTACAAAGTCAATATGGGTTCCTACAATCAGGTGGATTTAAAGGACTATATCGTGGTTTATATCCAGTACTTTTAGGTTCTACGCCAACAGGTAAATAAATAAAAGGCCTCACACTTATTAATTTTATATTGAAATATAATCTAACTAATGTGTGTTGTAGCTGGTCTGTTTTTTGTTACCTATGAAACTACCAAAGTATATGCACAACCTTTAGTATCCGAAAGATACCGTTCTTTAATTCATATGGGGGCAGCGTCGCTATCAGAAATGGTATTTCATTTTTATGTATTCTTATGTCGTTTAAAGGATTAAATAAGTATTTGTTAACAAAAAATTAATATTTTATAAAAAGGTTGCATGTTTAGTACGTGTACCTGTAGAAGTTATGAAACAAAGAAAACAGGCTTATTTATTAGATAAAGGTAATTTCAATATTAAGTTTTTGTACCGTGGTTATTGGAGTACAGTATTAAGAGATATGCCATTTAGTTTAATACAATTTCCACTATGGGAGTATTTTAAGGATGTTTGGTCTCTCTATGTACAAAGAGATGTATATCCTATTGAAGGTGCAACATGTGGATCATTGGCAGGTATCATATATCTAAAACTATTGCACTGTAAATAAATATAAATTGATAATAATAAATTATTATTTTAGGAGCTATTTCAGCCGCCTTAACTACTCCATTGGATGTTGCAAAAACAAGAATAATGTTAGCTAATGAAATAGTACAAAGTTCCGATCTCAAATTATGTACAACATTACGTGCGATATATACCAAAGAAGGAATAAATGGGTAATTTTTTGAAATAACATTTATAATCAATTAATAATAATAATAATAATTATATATATTATTAATAATTATAATTTATATATATATATATATATATATGTTTTGTAGCCTTTTCGCAGGTGTTGGTTGTAGAGTAATGTGGATTACCATAGGAGGTTTTATATTTTTTGGAGTATACGAAGAAGCCAAATTATTAGCATTAAATTCATTTAAATATAAGAACTTATAACAAAGAATTTCATCACGATAGAATAATACGATTATTTTTGTTTAATATGGTTTGTATAAATCAAACTTCATTGTACAAATTTTATTTATAAAACACGTTGGGATAATCCTATTATTTTTTTTCTTCACATGTATAATACATATGCGTAATGTATATTGTCCTATCTAAGTCATTTTAAAAGTTAAGTAATTTAATTTAATAAAAATGAAATAAATTCCATTATATAATGGACAAAAATTTAATCCGAAATAATTTTCCGTTATGTATATAGTTATTATTTTTCATTACTTTATTATTCAATTTGTATTATCAAATATTAAATAACAGTCATTTTACCTACATCGATGAAACAATAATGTAAGAAACAAAAAAATACCCAAAAATAGGAATTAAGCCTCTATAGACCCGTGTTACTTTTAAGTAACATATTAATTTTTTTCAGCATTTTATTAAATAATTTGTTTTTTTAATGAAATGGTTTATATATCTTAATTTTATAATCTATCTGAGACAACTAATACCATATTCATGATGGTTGCTAGCATAATCAACATAAAATAACAAAATAAATGTTATACAAACTGTTTGCAGTAGAAGAAAGAGAAACCTTTTTTTTCAATTGATACTATTTTTGTTTCTATCGATGTTTACCGAATAAAAAATTATGTATATAGTAGTTTTGAGTTTGAAAATCCATAAAAACTTATTTTTTTGCATTTCAAATATAATTTTTTTAATTTTTTTTTTTTGATAAAGTTTTTTTACTTTTAAGTAACATTGGTCCATAGAGAAATCTTCTGTATATTTAGGATCGCGCTTCTGTGTTCCGTCGAATGTTGGAACAAGTTGAAGAATTCGTTGCAGCAAACATCTTTGATCAATTCCTGATCATCTTTATCAGTTTTATTTGAGGAAAAGATTCGAAAATTCTGGAGGGATAAATTTTTACGAAAAAAATAAATAATTTACACCGGTGGTCAATGCTTATAAGCGAGACTGTTTATGTCAGGAGTACAAAGGAATCCGTAAAAAAAAGAGGACGTCCTGTTTCTACTAATGTAGATAAACAATTATAAAAAAATATAAAAAATAAATCAAGTACAGTACTTCCATCAAAAAACGTGCGGAAAGATGAAGTAGAACATTGGGCCAATTTTTTCAAACAAAAGAGGATGCTGCAAAAAACCTGGATGTAAAGGAATTTCGAAAATAATAAATTGTTTAAACAGGAACATTTTTTTTCATCTGTATATTTATGTAAATAATAGATGATTTTCAATTACAAAAATTCGGCCCATAGAGGGTTAATATTATAAAAACAATGGGGGTTTGCACATAAACCTTTCAAGATTCATTAATATTTGCGTGTAATTCGTTAGATACAAAAATAATAATAACAATAATATTAACAATAGTAAGTAAGAAGAAGAAAAAGAAAAGTAGAGAGAGAGGGAAAGAGTTAGAGAAAGAGTGAGAGAAAGAGAGAATATTTATGGTAATTATCGTGTAGTGTCGAGCACAATGACAATAATGCGTCCTTCGAAGTAAATATAAGGATATATAGTAGAGTAGTAGGTACTAAAGAGAAAAAGAGAAAAGTGGTTGAACAGTATAGGAATATCGGTAAAGAGAAAGAAAGAGAGAGAGAGAGACAAATGGCGTGCCGGTGGTGTAGGTGCTCGTGGAGGGGGAGAGACTCATGGTGTTAGCAAGATCCGTGGTTCGATACGCGTGTGGAGAGGATTCGCGTTCAGTCGATGCGTGCGAGCGGACAGAGTCGGTAGTTTTGTTACGCGCTCGTTCGCACCGCGCTCACATCTCGTCATTTATTATTTTTATTTTTTTTTATATAAATCGATCGATCGAACTCGATCTCAATCCCGATTTCGCGATCAATAATTGTATTTGCACCCTTATTTTTTTTTAATCTTTTCCTCGATTATTTCTTTTTTTCCCTATCTTATTCGTTTCATTTTTTTTATATCATTGTCAGAATAAAAAATATTAAAGAAATATATCTGTGGAAGATAGAAAAAAAAGGGAAGGGAAAGAAAAGAAAAACACTAATCGAGAATAATTTTTTAATATTTCTCTCAACTATTATAATTAGTAAAGTTTTTATATATATTCGTATCAAAACCTGGTATATTTGAAAGGAAATTTTTTGTTGTATCTTCTTTTTTTTTTTAATATATCCTTCGATCGCATTTTTCGATTAAAATAAAAGAAGAGCAGGAAGAAGAAGAAGAAATCATCATAATTGTCACCGTCATCATCTTCATCATCATCATCATCTCTCTTTCTCTTAAGAGCAAGACACATTCCAACACTGTGTAAACTTTCGACACGCTCTTCAAGTATATTCTTCTCTTCTAGCTTGATTCTCTGAGATTTATTCAGGTAAGCTTTTAGTCACTTTGTCATACAATTTCTTTTTACTCTTTTTTCTTCTTTCCCTTTGTTTTAACCATTTGTCCATTGATATTTCTTTTCTAATAATCTAACATAGCCACAAAATTATTTTCATTCTTTTATTTTATGTTAAATCCTTTATTTTTTTTTTATTAATAAGTATATAGATATGCACAAATGCATTCGATACTATTATTATTATTATTATTATTATTATTATTATTATTATTTTTATTATTATTATTCATTCATTCGTTATGTATATATATAGATTTTTAGTTGTGTATTAAATGTTCTTATCTTATTTTATTCTTCGTTATTAAGTATATATCCGAAAAGAAAAATCATTGAAATAATATCGAATATACAAATTGGTAAATAATTATTTTTATCTATATCCTGTGTGCACGCATACACACGACACATACGCACACACACATATATAAAGAAACTAATCGTATGTGTCCGGTGGAGGGGGAGGGGTGGACAATTAAAGAATCTATTTCTTATATCTTCTTTCATCTTTTTATCTCTCGTTCTTTTTCCTTCTTTTTTTTCCTTTTAGCTTTTTTTTACTCGTTTTATTTTTTTTTTTTGCGCGCGTTAAGAAGAGCAAGAGACGCGATTTGATCGGAAGGCCGCGGCGCGAGATCGACCTCGAATTTGCGGAGTAACGAGATAAATCCGACCTTCGTTATCGTAAAGTTGGGGAACGGTTACGTTATATAATGTTTGTATTTGCTATTTTTAGGTGTCTGCAGGCCAACTACCGTCAAATTTCGTGCTGACTCGGTATTGTCTCTCTCTCTCTCTCTCTCTCTCTTCCTTTTTCTCTCTTTTTTTTTCTTCTTACCAATTCTTTTTTTAAAAGTCTAAATGCAAGATCGATCGAATGTATTTATCCCCCCTTGCCTCCTTCTCTTCCTTGTTGATCGAGATCTACGCGAAAGATTTTTATTTTTTCTTCTATGCTATTTTCTTTTTTTTATAACTTTTTTCCTTTTCTTTTAGAAGAAAAAATTATTAACAATTTACTATAAGTAAAAGAACTCTAGAATCAAAGAACAATTCTGTTAAAACATAACTGTTGAATGATTTGACATTTTTCTTGATTTTTCTTTTTTTTCCGTAGACAGAATTATACATTTTTACATAAGTGTATGTTTGTACATATGAGCACAAATGAGTACATATGTGCCCATAATTATGAAAGTTGTCTAAGTCATGTATCTCTTGTTTCGAGACATTTAAAGTTTTATATTTGAGCACTGTATGAATTCTATATAATATTCAAGTAACAAATATTATCTAACGATTCAATTTTTGACAATATCGTGAAAATTAAATTGAATTTATTTAGTTTAAAATAAATTTGTGCGTAATAACTGATAAACTCATTTTTTTTAAATTTTCACTTAGACCACTTTCATAATTATGGGCACATATATGTGTATATATACAACGGAATAATTTTTGAGTTAAATTTTCTGGTCTTACAAAAAGAAAAAAGATGATAAATATAAAATAATAAGAATAATCAAAAAAATTTTCAATCACTGGATGTATAAATATCATATATGTATATAATAAAAAAAAAAACACAAACGCATAAATACTCTTTTTTGTCTTTAATTTAGCATTTCGTAGGAATACGGGTTAACAAGAAGAAATCGGTCATTGGTCTTTAGATTAAACCAAAAAAATTAAATCTTCTTTCTTCTATCTATTTTTAAATCTTCGACAAAATTTATCGATCAAATTTAATAATACAAGATTAATCATATACTTATATATATGTGTGTCAATAATGTTATTAATGTAATAACTTCTTTCTATTGGAAATCTCGATTCTCATTATTGAGAGAGAGGAAGGTACAATTTGCATTAATGATCTTTGATCTCTCGATTAGCTGTCAATGATCGAAAAGGAATAATTAATACTGATGATTTTTCTTTTCCTGACATAACGTAGGCGTTTATCGTGGGTAGTGTTAATTATCCGTTTGTTAAAATCATACAAGATAAGATTTTAAATACTTATAATTAGTATACAAATAACTAATCATAAGGGTTCATTTATCATAGGTGCGTTATTAATTTATGTATTATATTTTATCACACTTATACATATTATGATAGTTAAAGTTATATTACAATAAATAACAGATTATCATAACATACAAATACACACACATTTATTATATATCACATTGTACAATGTAATGATAGATATTCTATTCCAATAAATAATACATTACTGTAAATATTCATTACGTATTATAACACATAGCACGACAAATAATTTAATATATATATTATATCTATATATACAGGGTGATCCACTAACTCTTGTCGCCTAAATAGTTCCGAAAATATGATAGCAGGAGAAACATTTGTATAACAAAAATTCTATGGAAAAATGAAGGCTATTATATGACGTTAGTTCTTTTTTGTTAGATGGAGTTGTTTTCGAGATTTAATGGTCAACTTTGTTTTTTGTTTTTTTTAAATAGAATGCTATATTTTAATACTTATTTTCTGATTATGGCTGTCGATATATATACATATTTAGTATGTGTTGAAAATTCAACATATAAAATCTTAACATTCCCTTTTATTTCGGTCTTTCACGGTAACACATACATGAACAGTGTTGGAGAAAAAAAGAAATTAGAAAGAGATGGGTAAAAAAAGTTAAAGAACGAAACAATTATTTGTAATAATACATATGTAGTATATACAGATATATATGTTACCGTGAAAGATCGAAATTGGAAGATGTCAAGATTCACATAGTCGCTTGGTATATGTCCGAAACATTAAAGTAAAAAAAACAAAAATAAATCAAAATGTTCGGTCTTTCACCGAATACATATTTGGTACGCGTTGACAATTCAACGTGTTAATCTTGATATTCCCTTTAATTTCGGTCTTTTACCTTAACACATATACTAACAATGTTGGAAAAAAGAAAGAAATTAAAAAGAGGTCGGGGAAAGAGTTAAAGAACGAAGCAAGAGTAACACAACCGTAGTAAAAGTCTGCGGTTTCTCGTGGAGGTTGCTACCGAGTGAAGAAATATAAAAGGCCGCAGCACCGCGCCGTTCTGACGACGACCTCGGGGAGTCGGCTTAAGGTCTGGGTCAAACTATTCTCGTCGCGCATCGTTCCTTCCTTCTGATGATATCCAACCGATCGATCGATCGATCTGTGCGATCTGAATTTTCACATCTTTAATCCTATTCTCGATCAAGACCGATTGATAGATCGATCGATTGACCGATAAAATCGAATCGTTACGATCTTTGATAAATTAATACATGCATAACCATATATATACATATATAACAACATTGTTCATATATGTGTAAGGTGAAAGACCGTAATTAAAGATAATGTCAAGATTCACACGTTGAATTGTCAACACGTACCAAATATGTGTTCGGTGAAAGACCGAACATTTTGATTTATTTTTTTTTTACTTTAATGTTTCGGACATATACCAAGCGACCATGTGAATCTTGACATCATTCAGTTTCGATATTTCACAGTGATATATATATATATATATATATGTATATACTATGTATTATTACAGTTAATTGTTTCGTTCTCTTGAACTTTTTACCCATCTCTTTTTAAATTCTTTTTCCCCAACATTGTTCATATATTTGTTACCGTGAACGTTACCATGAAAGACCGAAATTAAAGGGAATGCCAAGATTCACACGGTGATATATATATATATATATATATATATATATATATATATTCTATTTTGAAACACAAATTCTTGGAGCTGCTACACGGACATTTTTTTCTATGACTTTCCATTTATATTTAACCTTCTTTTTTTTATCCAAGAAAATTTCAATGACACAATGACAAAGTTACCAACTAATTGATTTCCATTAATATTTTTCTTAAATATATATTTGTACGTAAATTGATCGAAACAAATTTTTAGAATGATTAATCAATGATTTATCGATTTATTATTTTGGATATAAGAATATTACAGAAAAATTATATCATAATTTTAAACATTGTTATATATCTATTTGTATATGTAAAATTGACAAAAAATATATAGTGTTCGAATGATTAGTCAAATTATAATTACTTATTCAAATAAAATGATCTATCTATGATCGATAAAGATTTATATCTTATATCGTAATTTATTGTTTTTTTTTCTTACAGATAGAAGGATGATGATTCAACAAAACACTAATTATAAAAGTATAGGAAGAGGAAGTTATTATCCGTGTTCTTGTAATTGAGAAAAATACGGAGATTTCAAATCTTATAAAGAACACGAAGAACGTCGTTAGATTGAGAGAAAAGAAGGAAGAAAAAGAAAAAGGAACACTATAATTTTTCTACAGTTTGAAGGAAAAACGTTCATTATAAGGAAGAAGCAAAAGAAGAAAAAGAAGAAAAAGAAGAAAAAGAAGAAGATGATGATGAATATGAATCGACCGATCAGATTATTTTTTCTTATGAAACAATGTCAGCGATCGGTTGTACCATCATTAATGATTGGAAATCTTTGACGATAGTAATAAAAACAGAAAAATAATAACTTTATTAATAAATCATAAATAAATAAATAAATAATTTAATTAATTTACAAAATAAAAGAATCATTATTTATTCTCAGACGAAGAGAGAGAGAGAGAGAGAGAGAGAGAGAGAGAGAGAAATAAAGAAAGAAAGAGTTAATAATACCAACAATAATAACACAATAACAATAATAACAACAACAACAAACAATAACAACACAAAGAAAGAAAAAAGAAAATAAAGAAATGGAGTTCATTGGAAGCCTTCGATTACGAAAGAATAAACAACATTAGCGACATTACCATATCTTCTTCTCTTTTTGGTTTTCTTTTTCTTTTTACATTCACACACACACGCGCACGCACGCACGCGCATACATACGGAGTGTGTGTGCGGTAGTGTGCGCGCGCGCGTGTGTGGTGGGGTGGTTGCGTGCGTGCGTGCATAAAAGTGCAATAAAATTCATTATACATTATTAACGAATAATAATATTAAATAGTAGTACTATTTTTTTTATGGTGATAATCGTTAATATTAATACGACAAATGTGTCAGAGTATATTAAAACTCGCGGAAATGTCGCGTATTTCTAATCGTGCTGTTAGCACGATAGCCGCATCTATCGGTATATTATTATTGGTGATCTTCTTGGTGATACTATGGACAGGTGGTGTTGGTTCATGGAACCATACTAAAGTTATCCACGAGGAAGATACCACCAGGAAGGATTTGGTACAAGGAATAAAAAATTCGAGCTTACAATCGATTAGTGTATTCCATTTGATCGAAGAAGATCATACCGAGTTTAATATGACGATACTCGACAGGACAACTGTTTCCTTCATCAACGAAGGTGAGTTTATTTGCTTGTTTTTTATTCTACGTATTATAATTCTTATTTAAAATTCATTTTTATATTTCTCTCCTTTATGTATACATATATATATAATTAAAATATTGTTTTAACAATATAACGTTCATAGGTGTAATTGTGTATAAAATCTAATATACCAGTATCAATATATAATATAAGTTTTCTATGTTATTTCTAACATAAGTGTAGCATATAAACTCTATTTTACTACTCTATCACACAATATTTTATAATTCCCATTATATATATTGATTATAAGTGTATAAGTATATATATATATACAGTGGATATAAATCATTGGATTAACATCTAATTGTAAGTGATTGCAGATTTTATCGATAGATGGTTTTTAAAAATCCACAATCATTTGCCAACTCAATATATGTATATTACAAATAAATTTAATTTTAAGTATATTTATCTATATCTCTTTCTTTTCTTTACTCTCTTTCTTTCTCTCTCTATCTTTTTTTATTAAATCTTGCAAATAAGTTATTTGTACTAATAAACATTAATAATTAATTTTTCTCTTTCTTTTTCTTTCTTTTTCTTTGAAATTTCGCATTTGCAAGGAGCGCCGCTCGGGGAAAGTTAGAACGTCCAGACGTCCTTGTAAGGCCGCTGCACCAAAGCAGCACCTACACCTTCACCTACACCTTCACCTACACCTACACTTACACATACACTTATACTTTTATACTTACATACATCTCCAATAATCTACAACCTACAACCTCCACTTCCACCTTCTTAACATCCTTCTTTTTCTTTTTCCTATCGCCACAATGTCTACCTTTATTCTTACTTATACCATACACGACCTTCCCCCTCTCCACCCCAGCCTATCCCACTTCCCTCCTTCCTATCTATCTATCTATCCTCCTCTATGTTCTCTCAAAGTATCCTTCTTCGATATAGTATACTTTAATACTCATGAAACGAAGAAGTAATCTTCCGCAGGATGTTCGTTCTTAATCTACGTGCCTTTCCAATTATCTTACCAACGCTAATGATCTTTAATTGTCTATCGGAATTGCTTACTCACCTATACGTGACATATATAAATGTAATATATATATATATATATATGTGCTCATTAAATAAAATTATAATCTTATATTCTATATATTTATATATATTTATTTATATATGTGACTTACCAATATATATTTCACATATACCTTTCTTTCTTTCTTATTCTTTTAATAAATGTATGTAAATTTTAAATCAATGATTTTATTTTTCTATAAATATACATATACATATACATAAATTATATTTCCTTTTACTTTTGAATATATTAACTTATACGTAGAATGTTTCTTTCTCTTTCTTTCTTTCTTTCTTTCTTTCCCTTTCCCTTTCCCTTTCTTACTCTTTTAATAAATGTATACAATTTTTGAATCAATGATTTCATTTTTCTATAAATATGCATATACATAAATTATGTTTCTTTTTACTTTTGAATATAATAAATCATACGTAGAATGTCTCTTTATCTCTTTCTCTTTCTCTTTCTCTCTCTGTCTTTTTCTCTCTTTCTTATAATAAATGTGCATACAATCGTTCGATGATTTTATTTCTTTACAAGAAATATATATCTATACATGTACATAGATACTTAATTATCTCTTTCATCTTACACCGAGATAAACTTTAAGGTCTATAAATTCTCTTATGCATTCTCTTTGCACCTGCATTTGCATTATACGCTTGTACATATCTTTTATATGTGTTGTATCTATCCATACACACATACTTTGTACATTGTACATATATATACGTATAACGTAATACCTCTTGATTATTTTCTCCTAAGGTTGCTTATCTTCTATCATCTTTTTCCTTCCATGACCATTGACTTACGTGAAACATCTCGATTCGATCTATAGATCGATCGATCGATAAAAAAAAACAATCATTGCACTTAAAAAAAAAACAACTAAAATTAATAATAAATTTATACATATTATAATTCGTATGTGTCAGTGTTTCCGAAGAGGTATAAATATTATATCTATATACATATTCAATAACTTGATGATTTTTTTTTCAATTCTCTTTATAAGAATTGCCGACTTAATCCGAAAATAAATTCTACAGAGCAATAACCTCGATTACGTTACGTATGTAGTACGTTAAAAGCACATCACGTATTTTCGTGTATAGACGTCACGGGACTTGCTACACGATAATTGTCGATAAGAGAAAGAAGCAGCTATGAAAGATAAGAGAATAGATATTTAAATATGCGTGTATTATATACATAAGAAATGTGTACTTAGGGTATTTACATATTGAATCGAGAAACTTCTCCTATCGAAAATTCTAATTTCAATTTCTTTCTTTTCTCTTTTTTTCTTTTTTATCATGTAAGTATAATATGTATATCTTAATTCAAAACGAATAATACTTATCATTATTATCTCTAAAATACTATCTAGAATGTTTTATTTACCCATATATACGAGTAGATGTAGAACAAAATGAATAATATAACGAATAATATAAATTAACAAATATAAGTTGAACAAAAATTATTCTAATTGGTCCAGTATAAGTTATTTATTGAGTATTTTTTATAGAATATTTTTCAAATTGTTTAATAAAAGTAAAAGTAAAAGAGAAAACATTTGGAAGAAATAATAATTATCTTGATTTTCGTTAAACATAGAAAATCTTGTTAAGATATTGAAGAAATGATAAAAAGAAGTTGGTTTACAATTCAAAGCATTACAATTTGCATTTCAACATTTCAAATACTTATAAAAAAAAAAATAAAATAAAATATCAAATGTTCACTTATTGAATTAATTTGTACTTTTAGATCAATATTGTAATATTAATTTATTAATTAAAGAAAAATTTTACATAAATATATCTTATACAAAAATGTACATAAAACATTTTTCTTTTTCCATTCATATTAAAAACATAAAAAAATAAAACAAAAAACAGAAAGAAAAATAAAAAAAGCAAAAATAGAAAAGAACATAAATAATTATATATATTATATTTATTTCATGCTATTAACTAAGAAAATGATCAAGGTGAACGAATTGACCTTTTTAATATTAAAAAGAGAATTATTATGTCCCTTAGAAAGGATTTCTTTGTATTATAATAATTTCTTCGAATTAACGTCGCATATAAGCGTCTACATATAATACAAAATACATTGAAAACTTTCCTCTTCTTTCTTTTTAATTTCCTAGTATATATACTTACAATTAGTACACATGTATAACTTTTAACGTAAAAAAAAAGAAAAAAAAACCAAAAATAAATAATATTAAAAAAATAATTTTTTTGTTGAACATATTCTCGAATATGATATTTGTATTTTTGAAACGAGGAAGCATTAACGTGATCGAGTAAGCTGCTGTTAAAAAAGACAAAGATAAAGATAAAGAGAGAAAGACAAAGACAACGATACAACGAGGACGACATGATGATGATAACATCGTATGATGCTGAAAGTGCGTGACACTAAAGAGGCTCGTATTTCTTTAAGGATCAGCAGATACGGATATATCACGTGTTTTACAATTGCGTTAGACCTATCTTTTTAACATCACCCCTTCCCCCTCACCTATTCCTTATATTTCCTCCCCGATATATTCCTTATACCCTATTTTTTTTCTTCTTTTTTTTCTTCTTTTTTTTCTTACATCTTTTCTTTATGTCCAACACGCTTATTTAATTTTACAATTTTAATAGGATTTTTCTATATAAGTTTGTAAGATATATTGTTTTCTTTTGTAGAATTTAAATTCTTTGATTCGTATGTTTTTTTAAAGATGTATTAGATATCGGATAATATTTATTTGTTAAGAAAAATAGAGTTACAATAAGATAGTAAAGTGATTATAATATATCATTAGTTGATGGTTTTTTAAAACTCGTTTTTGTTAGATTTTTTACTTATAAGTAGTATATTAATAGTAATTATTGATATTAATACAATATTTTAAGGTGTTAACTTATGAAAATATGAAGATGCACGAGTAAGTCAATTATGTTCTCAAATTACATTAAAGTTATTGTCATAGTCAATATATTTGTAAGTTTTAATTTATTTTGAAATGTTCAAGTTGTCGAACAGGGTTTTGGGAAATAGTACTCTTGCTTATTGTCTTGGTTTCTTTTTTTCTGTCAAGTTCATAGATTTAATTAAAAGATAAAAGCAAAAACTGGCGATCAGGTTTACAAAGAGACTTGTCTTTGTTAGTTAACAATAAGACTTTACTTACAATTAGTATATTAATAGTATACCTTCAAAATTTCAACATATAAAAATATGAAGATGTATGAGTAAGCCAATTTCGATACAAATAACATCAAAGTTTTTGTCATAGTCAGTATAATTGTAAATTTTAATTTATTTTGAAATGTTCAAGTTGTCGAACAGGGTTTTAGGAAATAGTATTCTTGCTTATTGTCTTGATTTCCTTTTTTCTGTCAAGTTCATGGATTTAATTTAAAGGTAAAGGTAAACTCGCGATCAGGTGATATTCCGAAAGTAAGAGCACATAAAGTCTTGGTAGACTGCGTGGCGACGACCTCCGACCAAACCGGCCAATCCACCTGAAATACGTTCCTTTCCATCCAATCTATGTATATGTCATGTACATGTGTATATGTTTATGTCCGTGTATACGTGTATTTACGTATTAGTATTTCTCTTTATTACTCTCTTCCGCTCTTTTTCTTTTTTTTTCTTTCTCTCTCTTTTTCTCTTTCTATCTTTTTCTCTTTCTATCTTTTTCCTTCTCTCTTTCACTTTACTTCCACTCTTGTACACACTTTACGAGTTTTCTTGGACGTCCCTTAAAAACAGGCTTCGTGTAACAGAATATCGTAGAATATACATCTGAGGTATGACGCATCGATACTTTCAGATCTACATACGAAACGATCCACAAACTATCGAATCATTTCTAAATTACTCAGAAAGTCCATAATATTTTTTCTTTTCA